CTCGTTCACGATGTTGACTCTGGCAAATTTGAAGTAATTTTCTTTTCTGTTTTTTCCTTTGATCAGATAGCATGTGTTTGTGGAGTATTATTTATATCAGTATCCCTTCACGAGTGTGATCGCGAAGCGTCTTTCTTCTCATAGAACTCTCCGTTTCACTCAATAGCATTTAACTTTCAATGAGGTGATCAACTGCCAGGAAACATAATCCGTGCCTCGGGCTCCCCTGAAACTAACTGGGGCAAGAAAAGCGGGGATAGAAAGGTATTTAAAGCACCAAAAAAAAAAAAAATCTATACAATACTTCTGAATTATGGGAGTTAAGCCACGTGTTTCTTGTCCCTCCTTGGTAATATCCCAATTAGAAATAAGGACATTATTTTTACGGCTGCAAACGAAGGGCTCTCTAGCTAAATTGTTTGTAGAAGAGCTGCAAATATCCCCCGCCCTTCGGTCTACTCGGCAGTGAACCACGCATTTAAGTTCGTCCTAATATCTGTCTTTTCTGCGGGAAACGTCTCGGCACCTCTTTTTCAGTCTCCGCCGCACCTGTCTTTTTAAACAAGGGACCTTGTCGTTTATTGCAGGACTCTTTTTACTCTTTTATATAATCATAAAGAAACTTTTGTTAGGATACCATAAATGCTTGTATAACATAGTCTGCTATATTCTGGCGAATTCGTAATTATTTAATAACTGAAACTGCATTTAGATCATTCTTTGATATGCAGAAATGTGCAAAAGATTTGTATAACATGTCCATATAAATCGCGATCGGCGCTATGTTTTTGTACGAAGTTAATGAGTAGCCTATGCGTGTGAAATCTTTATCAACTCTTCGATGTATAAACGTGCAACAAGTTACCCAAAGGACACGACTCATTCAATTTTATTTTGTTTTAGTAAAACTATTTTTATTTTCTGTTATTGCGAACATGACTAAACGTGGAAAGGGTATCGAATTAATTCGTTGTTGATTGCTGTTCACATAAAAAGGCACGTAGCCTACTGTATAAAAGTTAAGATGTAGAAGAACCATTTTGTATGCGCATGTGTATGTGCAGAAGTGCGGTAGACAAAAGCAACTTTAGAGTTACAAATAATAGCTTATTTTGTGTAGTTATTTTAAGGCTTTGTTCTCTGCCTTGAGGGGGATGCGTCCTCTCGCTAAAAAAGTCCTTCTTCACGAGAGCTTTTCATGTGAACTAGAGGTTAACAACCTAATGAGCACTTGGTGAAGAGGTGAAGCGTGTAAATAGGCGCTGGTTTTCCCAAACCATGCGCTCCTTGTGAGCCCTTCTATCTGCTACTCTAACCTCTGCGGCGCTTTAATAAGACTGCGCGATTTCAGCGGGAGTCCCCGGGAGGCTATCCGGGTCCAGCCGTGCTCAGGCTGGGTAACAGCAGCCAGAATAGCCGCTGAAATACCTCACCAGGGTGCTGAAGTGCAGAAACATGCTGTTACATATGTTGGGTCAAGCGTCTCTTTTGTGAGAATGTAAAAAGGTGTAAAAACTCAGTCATCTGTAGCATATTTTATCGGACTGAAAGCTTTGCATGTTTTCTCTTTCTTTCTCTCTCTCTCTCTCGCTCTCCCTTTCTTTTTTGCGTATGTCTAACGAACTGTTGAAAGAATGTTGAATTTTGAAAGTGCCCCAGTCGCATTTAATTGTTGACTGGAATTTAATTGGAAATACTAGAGGACCTAATTAAAAGGTACTAATTATCTGGGACTGTTAAAAAGTATTGTAACTTAAACGGGATATGTGATTTTAATATACAAAAAATAATGTTGGCCTGTTTTTCCTAAGGGCTAACTATATTGAAGAGGATGCTGTAGTACTGCTGTGCTATATATGCTGGAAAAAATTTGTACCTTTTGTATAGTTGTGTACATGTAGTTTTTAAATATACCCTTCAACTGTTGTGGCAAGGTTTTATTTACAATTATTTGGAAATGATTAAACGTAGATATCCCTGCAACTTGAAACCACGCCAATTAAACTGTCAATTACCTTGAGGCCACTTGCGGAAATATATAGGACTGCGAGAAATAATACAGCATCACCATTCGACATTTTCAAATCTGCCATCTAATTCTAAGGTACCTGTCACAGGCCCTGTCAAAGACATCCCATCAATGGAGAAGTTTTTGTTCTATAGGTTTATGTGTGGTATCATTATGAACACAGAATTACTTTTTTCGATGGCAATTTTCATTCGTGTGAGATCGCTGCCGAGATAATTACTTTGAATGTCAAAAAGATTTAGTTTAATATCATCTCTATTAGACTGTTGGTTAGGTAATTAAAGGTGCAGATGAAAGCAGCGGGGGAAACAGATGGCATTTGCTTACTGTGATTCAGTATGTAAACAATTGGAAGTCAGCAGTAGAGACCGCGTCGAAAAGCGAAAACGAAGGCACTGAGAGACATACAAAGGCGTCCACAAAACCGTATGTAGGCTACAATAAAAGCCACTTAAATGTGAGAAGGTGCGTAGGGTCACGAGAATGGGAAATAGGGTGGACTAGCTGTTAAGAGAAATAATTGATAAAAGAGGATACAGTCATTGCGTCAGCAAGAGGGAAACGCATTTGGTCGATAACGCCTAAAGGCTCAGCCAAATATTATTCCATTTCTCCTGTTGCTGTCATGATGTGCTTATTTTGGCTCACAGTAACACAATGACGGCGCTTTAGAACTAGTCCTCTCCTCTCGTGTATCAAGAAGAGCTTCGTTACGTAAGGAGAAAATACAAAACGGTATTACAGTAGGCTTATAATTCCTTGTGGAAATTTTGTATAAATGGAAAATTAACGCAAAAGCAAATATCCTTTTTCTTTTTTAAAAGCACAATTTAGCTTAAATCGACTTCTGTGTATATCTGAATTAAATGGAAACGAATAAGTAATTATGACGATGCGTGTTATTATTATAAGTAAAACAATATGAATTTCAAAGTTCAGGGTCGAAGACAACTGTTGAATAGGGTTTAAAATATTATTTTTTCGATCTTTGTTTTGTATATTTACACCAAACATGTTTTACCTACCGTTTCAAATTCCTACCAGAATATTTAAAATAACTAATAATAGTAATCAGCTTACGGCCTTAAGAAGTCTGTAATACGTTACTGAACATAATTAAATCCGAGACTAAATGTTTAATTTCTGTAAACCTTAAAGACGTAGTTTATAAAACAGGCGCCGTAAGATCCAGGCTGGATTATTAGACTTGAGAACTATTAACATTCCGAATTTCCAAACTAATAGCTGGTTTTATCCCGTGCTTACGAATAATGTAACCGTTGGATATTCCCAAGCCAAAACATCAAATGACGCTGAAACTTGAAACACTCGTTCATAAAATCACATACATAAATGTAACAAAATCGAACTGCTCTAGCGAAATTTATATTAGGGTATAAGATATTTTCATTTTAACTATATGCATCAATATATTTTCTATAGTTCCTGTCCACTTGAGGATTGCGGCCCACTTCTTTGCATGTAGGATTGAATACACGAATAAATGTTTTGAATTTAACGTAAAACTTACGTGATGCACAGTGTTTTGAATAATGAAGACAAGAAATAGCGGTCATTTTCAGAAACGTAAGTGTCGCTGAGCCAGCCGCTGAAGATTAAGTATAACGCTCGTACCTTTGAAAGCAGAAGGAAATACGCAAATATAATTATTTAAATCCATGCGTACCGGTTTTAGCATCATGCACATTTTTAGCAAAATCCTCTAGGTATAAAACAAAATTATTGGATTCCCAAGACATACAACGAGATACTGCTTATTGCAGGCCTATCAAAAATAACAGTTTATTTAATGTCTATTGTGATGCACTCAACGTTGAGTACATGTACTCAACGATATACTGGCGTAACAAAAAGAAACACACGGAGTAATTGTTAATCATCTTTAATTTACGTGTTCCTATGGAAGCAATAGTACACGTGTGAGTTTATATAAATGTATGTAAGTCTCAGCTTTTATCTACAATATCGATATGATTGTGGAAAAGATGACATTTCATTTTGAGAGCATCGATTTTGCATTTGTGAACCGTAGAAAATGCTTTTGATTTTGTAAACAGAATATTTAAATTGAAATATTAAAGTAACATTAATTCACATGATTCAAATAAATAGGCAATATAGTTAATTCCGGACAATCGGAATGCTGATATGTCAGACAGTTTTGTTTCCCCCGATTCTTAGTTGTTCCTGCAAATAAAATAAATTGAGTAAAACTGGCTATAAAGAATGTCTGAAAACAGTTTTTATTCTTTAGCATCACACATGGTATATATGATTAATCCAACTAATTTCGGATAAGAAATGATACGTTTTCATATTTTTACCAGCATCAGTTTAGCATATACGTTATGGTAACTTACCTTATTACTTTACAGACGACTTGACGGTGATGACGTCATCGAAAAATTAACCGGGCTCCCATAATTTGTGCAATAAACTCAACTGGTCATATACAATTACGTAATGTATTTTGATTGTGTAGTTTCTGCAACTTTTTACACTTGCTTGTGGGAATTTGCAACTCGAAAGATAAGTTCAGGAAGAATGAAAAATAAAAATAAAAAAAGCATTAAACAAACACTGGATACTTCTAGGTCGTTTCGTCCATCTGAAAATAATACGAAATGGGAATTAAAATATTTTTTTATGTCATTGTTTATATTTACTATCGAAATTTTGATTTGTCCTTTAAATTCTAAATTCGCTATTATAAGTAATGTATTTTAGCTCTGCAGGACCTCCTTCAGATTTTGAACACTTGCTATTGAAGAAAGAATTCAGGTGGACACAGTTGAAAAAAATGACAAGCCAATCAGATCGCACCTTCCCCCTTTGACCAATGACAGGCGCCACACTGTTGTCAAATTTGTCTAATGAAAACGTAGGAGCAACAATAGAGAGAGAAGATCTGTATCTAGTGGCAATCTCTCCAGTTAGTTAGTGTCTCACGCTTGTGTCGCTAGCAACGTGAACGCCTTCCGCTGAAATAACCTAGGACCCGATTAACTTCTAGTAGATCAAAAGGAAACCTATGGATTTAAAACCAGATATGAAATATATTTCTTCATTGTAACTTTGAGCTTAGACATTCTGAGAACATTTTGTGTGTGATTGTAATTTTTTTTCCTTGTCAGTTTTTAGTTAGCCTTTTTCTACTTATCTTTCGTATTTTGGACGTAAATGTGAGGATAGACTTTACAGGACAAACTATCCAAATCATCAGACAAGACGTTTTGGGAAACAAAAGTTTAAAGACTTCGTAACAGACAGTACATGGATGTATTTTTAGTTTAGTACTTGAAAGTTTTACAGGCGGTTTATAATATCGGGAAAGCTTTATTGAAAGTTTAAACTAAACGCCGTTATTTCTGATCATTTGTGTCCTACCAAATGTTTCTGTTTAATACACTTAGCTAACTGGCTGCTTGCCTTGTGTGTAAATCTAAATGCACACTTTAAAATAATAGTTGTAGATGCAATAGCCTATTTAAATTAAATAATAAATGCGTTGATTACATTTTCATCCAAATTTCAATAGTATCGAATTCGGAAATACGTGAAGAAAAAGTTCCAATTGAAGTAATTGTAGTTTTTAATCAACGAGAACATGGATATGCGATCCGAAATCCCTACGGCCACCGCTGGATCCCAAGTTCATCCCGGAGCAGCTGCTGCCTCTATCCCTGTCTCCATGGCTAGCAGCCTGCTGCGGGGCCCCCCGCTACTGCTGCGGGCGACTGAGAAATATCCGCGCACTCCAAAGTGCGCCCGGTGCAGGAACCACGGCGTCGTGTCGGCATTGAAGGGACACAAGCGTTACTGCCGCTGGAAGGACTGCATGTGCGCCAAGTGCACACTGATCGCCGAGAGGCAACGCGTGATGGCCGCCCAAGTGGCGTTGCGCAGGCAGCAAGCTCAAGAAGAAAACGAAGCCCGCGAACTGCAGCTGCTTTACGGTACAGCGGAGGGGCTAGCGCTGGCCGCTGCCAACGGCATCATTCCACCTCGCCAGAACTATGAAGTCTTTGCTTCTGTGAGCAACGAGACAAACTCTGGTGAGCATGAATATTTTGGCTTGTCTTTAAGCTGACCAATTTATTGATTGTGTAAAGAGCCTTATTGCATACCAGATAATACACTATGGATTTCAATGGCATACTTTTCAATGAATAAATCAGATATTCTGATTCTAATACAGCCGGGAACATTTTATAAAAATTACCGATAACTAGAAAACGAACCCTACAGATTTACGAAATGACATATATACTGATGAGAATTAGATTATTTAATTAGATCTTTCTTTTCTCCACAGATGGAAAATTTGAACTGTTTCCAAAAGCCCAAATGCCAAGATCTGTCACACCACAACAACAGACTCTTGGGAAGTCCGTGTCCACTGACAGTGAGTCTGTTCCCGGGATTTCCTCCCCTGAAATTAGACATGGGTCTGGTTCTGAAAATGGAGATGGAGAGTCCTTCATCAGCTCCCCTGTTTCCAAGGCCCTGAAAGATGGAGAAGAGACCCCTGGTTCAGTCAGTCCGCTGGGCTCCGATTCTGGGTCTGAAACTGAGAAAGATGAGCAGGAGCCCTCGCCGTCCTCAGCCAGCGCCAGGCAAATGAACGCCATCGACATTTTGACGAGGGTCTTCCCTAGTCACAAGCGGAGTGTCCTTGAATTGGTTCTACAAGGCTGTGGAAAGGACGTGGTGCAAGCCATAGAGCAAATCCTCAACAACAGCGGACAGCCTAAGGTCCCCGAAGAGTCCTGGGCTGCTGAGCGGATGCTGCAAAGTATGCAACCGCCGTCAGCTTCGGCCCCCCGGCCCATGTTACCCGGAGCCATGACTCTAAGCAACAGATCTGCGTTCTCCCCCCTGCAGCCGAACGCAGGGCACTTTGGCACAGATCCCGGTGCCTACCCCTTAAGCACCCACCTGGGACTCAACCCCCTGAGGCTAGCTTACTCGGCCCACAGCAGAGGACTCGCCTTCATGACTCCCTACTCCACTGCAGGTTTGATGCCGACTCTCGGTTTCCGGCCTCCCATGGACTACGCCTTTAGTGACTTGATAAGGGACAGATCGATTTTGCACAAAGACCAGGGGTACGCCAACGGACTGTATGGGCCTTTGGTGAACAATACCCCCGATAAGCAGTGAGTGACTCTTGGAAAGTCGTGCTTGTGACTTGGTGGGGGTACAGCTCAATTATGAGTGCAGAAGGACATGATGAGATATCCATAGCCAAAAGTGTTCTGCTCTTAGTGGGGAAATAGAAGAGGTGGTTGGAGACGTGTGATCCTAATGGCTCTGGCCTGTACAGACTTTTCTGTTAAATACGTTAACCTGTCATGTAGAGCCTATTCCGAACGTCTGCCCAAAATCTATATAAAAAGTGCCACAAATTAAAATTACTGCTTATCCGTTAATTACCAAACAAAGCCCATAACACAAAGACCTCCTTAATTAGCGTGACACTGCAATGTTGGTATGCTTGGATTCTGCGTGGAGATTTAGTTCATATTTTTGTCAGTAACTTGCAATTAGTGCATAGGTAAACTGTTTAAATCAATTGTGGTTTTTATCATTGTTTGGTTTGGTGCTAGATTAAACCAATCCTCACTAAACCATAAATGATTACTGCTGAAGCCTCATAAGCAACTGGGTGGGATGAAGATATTTTGACAGAGAAAAAAGAAAGAAATGATATCATTATCTGTCTTGTACATTGTGGATTGCAGTTTGGTTGTTTCTATATAATATCCCATTTTACAGGGTCCACATAAACTCAAAAGGTCACGCTATAATCATTTATTGAGAATACAGTTCCATTTTATTAATATGTTCTTTTTTCACTCTTTGCCTGTCATTTCTATTATGAAAGCTTTTGCAGCTATAGTTACTAATATTGTCACCAATGTGGGGCTTAAATAAGTGTCAGTCCTTTAAATGTACCCATGTTTTTAAAAAGCACATTCTAAGTTATTGCTATAATGTGTTGCTATTTTTCTTGTGTCAATAACATAACACACAGTTTAAACTAATTCATTTTAGGCATTTTCTTTCTCGTGCCTCCTTGTAGTTCTTCTACAAAATATTGTATATTACATTTCTAGATGATTATATTTGTAAATGTACTTTACCCAACATAATCGGCAAAAAATAGTTCTATTCGATGAAATCGCCAT